TCATTCTCTTGTGTTTCCTTTATTCTCTTGTGTTCCTTCATTCTCTCGTGTTCCTACATTTCTCTCGTGTTCCTTCATTCTCTCGTGTTCCTTCATTCTCTTGTGTTCCTTCATTCTCTTGTGTTCCTTCATTTTCTCGTGTTCCTTCATTCTCTTGTGTTCCTTCATTCTCTTGTGTTCCTTCATTCTCTTGTGTTCCTTCATTCTCTCGTGTTCCTTCATTCTCTTGTGTTCCTTCATTCTCTTGTGTTCCTTCATTTTCTCGTGTTCCTTCATTCTCTTGTGTGCCTTCATTCTCTCGTGTTCCTTCATTCTCTTGTGTGCCTTCATTCTCTTGTGTTCCTTCATTCTCTTTTGTTCCTTCATTCTCTCGTGTTCCTTCATTCTCTTGTGTTCCTTCATTTTCTCGTGTTCCTTCATTCTCTCGTGTTCCTTTATTCTCTTGTGTTCCTTCATTCTCTTGTGTTCCTACATTCTCTTGTGTTCCTTCCTTCTCTCGTGTTCCTACATTCTCTCGTGTTCATTCTCTCGTTCCTTCATTCTCTTGTGTTCTTCATTCTCTTGTGTTCCTTCATTCTCTCGTGTTCCTACATTCTCTCTTCGTGTTCCTACATTCTCTCGTGTTCCTTCATTCTCTTGTGTTCCTTCATTCTCTTGTGTTCCTTCATTCTCTCGTGTTCCTTCATTCTCTCGTGTTCCTTCATTCTCTTGTGTTCCTACATTCTCTTGTGTTCCTACATTCTCTTGTGTTCCTTCATTCTCTTGTGTTCCTTCGTTCTCTTGTGTTCCTTCATTCTCTCGTGTTCCTTCATTCTCTCGTGTTCCTACATTCTCTTGTGTTCCTACATTCTCTCGTGTTCCTTCATTCTCTTGTGTTCCTTCATTCTCTTGTGTTCCTACATTCTCTCGTGTTCCTTCATTCTCTTGTGTTCCTTTATTCTCTTGTGTTCCTTCATTCTCTCGTGTTCCTACATTCTCTCGTGTTCCTTCATTCTCTTGTGTTCCTTCATTCTCTTGTGTTCCTTCATTCTCTCGTGTTCCTACATTCTCTCGTGTTCCTACATTCTCTCGTGTTCCTACATTCTCTCGTGTTCCTTCATTCTCTTGTGTTCCTTCATTCTCTCGTGTTCCTTCATTCTCTCGTGTTCCTTCATTCTCTTGTGTTCCTACATTCTCTTGTGTTCCTTCATTCTCTCGTGTTCCTTCAGTCTCTTGTGTTCCTTCATTCTCTCGTGTTCCTTCATTCTCTTGTGTTCCTTCATTCATCTCATCCTACCATACCTACACTCATGCACTAAGGATGTTAAAAAGAATACAGTAATACAAATATACATTATAATATACCTCATCATACATAATACAAGAGAGAATACAGTATGTGTACCTCGTATACAGCCAGAGTGATCTATACACCCTGTTAATGTGTATATTTGAGGTATACTTAACCCTCCTCTGATCTATACACCCTGTTAATGTGTATATTTGAGGTATACTTAACCCTCCTCTGATCTATACACCCTGTTAATGTGTATATTTGAGGTATACTTAACCCTCCTCTGATCTATACACCCTGTTAATGTGTATATTTGAGGTATACTTAACCCTCCTCTGATCTATACACCCTGTTAATGTGTATATTTGAGGTATACTTAACCCTCCTCTGATCTATACACCCTGTTAATGTGTATATTTGAGGTATACTTAACCCTCCTCTGATCTATACACCCTGTTAATGTGTATATTTGAGGTATACTTAACCCTCCTCTGATCTATACACCCTGTTAATGTGTATATTTGAGGTATACTTAACCCTCCTCTGATCTATACACCATATATCATACGTGGCTTCGTCTAAGTAGTCATACATTCATACATTATGCTTCTTACGTGTCCAGTTATGTGTATATTGTGTGTATATTTTCATTAATTTATGACTGTGTGTGTATAAAGCTCATTTATTTTGTTTAGTGATGTGCATTTTTTTTATATAAGTACACATCTCATTCATGTACACACACTAATCATGTATACTACTAATTTATGTATACATACTACCCCCCATGTATAGCTCTCACCCATGTGGACCAGTTACAGTATACATAATAATAAGTGCTACTCTTACTACTAATAATACACACACACACACACACACACACACACACACACACACACACCATCTTAAAATATATACTGAGATTACTAAATATTCCTTGCTATACATACATACATACATACAAACATACATATACATACATTTTCTATTTACAATACATATACAATACATTTGAAGTAGTTTAAGATACAGTTGAACACATTAATTAATTACTAAGAGCTAAAGTAACATTAAAATGATTCTGATGGCAAAATTGTCCACAGAATTTGAAACAGTTATTTACAATGCGGAAGGTACAGAGTGCGCTATTAAGGTTCATATTATATACATGATTAAAGAGGATTTTCTACTTTATGTACACCTGATGCCAATAAGTACATACATACATACATAGAGACTAGTACAGGGAGGAGTGGTAAATGTTTATGCACAGTAAGGGTTAAAAAAAAGTAGTGACGTCAATATAAACAATGAGTGACGTCACACTACTCCTATGACGCGACGTGGCTTTGACGTCACATCTTCTCCTCCAATCACAAAACGTTTAGGAAGACCAAAGGATTTATTTATTAGTTCCCTCTATACTGTCTCTCGTCCACGTCATTGGTGGAACTAACCAATCAGAGAAGTGATTTTTATTTACATATTTTACTCCAAAAATATACGTTGATATTTTACAGTAAACCTGTCATGTCATGAAAATTAGTGTTTTATTAATATATGAGATTAGTGTAATAAACTGTTATATATATATATATATATATATATATATATATATATATATATATATATATATATATATATATATATATATATATATATATATATATATATATAATCTTTGTGATATATGATGTTATAGTCTCTGTTAAGTGAAGTGTGTATGTGTTCAAATGTTCTGATATAATGTGTAGTGAACAAGGTAGACTGTGTGCTGAACAAGATATAACTGTACTAAAACAAATTTTAACTGTATTGAACAAATTTTATCTATACTGAACAAATTTTAACTGCACTGAACAACATATAACTGTGTGATGAACAAAGATGAACAATATAATGAACAAATAAACAAAATATATGAACTGTTTTACCTTCTTGTCTGTCTCTCTGTCTGTCTCTGTCTCTCTGTCTCTCTGTCTCTCTGTCTCTCACAACGTCATGAAACCAAGAACAAGCGTCACAAAATCAACACTAAATAAACATAACTCAACATTGATATATGGCAACACTAGTAATGACGTAATAATGACGCCATCAACACTGAGGTTTGATAATGAATATTTCATACACATCAATAACGTCAATGTACCGTGACCAATTATGTGAATTTTTCCGATTTTCTGATTGGTGCTTGAACTAGTTATGTCTTTACCATTGATTTTAGGTATATTTTGGTGTTTGTTTGTTGTTAAGTAATTATTGTAATGTAATTGGTAACTTTCTCCTGTATTTTAATTTCTATTCTTGTTGGGTATAACTTGACCACTTGTGTATGATGATTTAAACCTTTGTGTATGATAATTAAACCCTTATGTTTGATAACTCACCTGTATATGATGATTTAAACCCGTGTATGATAACTTAAGTCACTTGTGTATGATAACTTATTTATATATGATAATTGTCTCCTCTTGTACAACATCATGAAGAACTGGTACAATAATTTCCATCCTTGAGTACGATAATTCCTTAAGTAACGATAAGACTTAGATTCATACAGCAAGGTTGACCATAAGTTGTGTTAAGTAATCTGTTAAGTAGTGTTAAATAATCTGTGAAGTAGTGTTAAGTGTTCTGTTAAGTAGTGTTAAATAATCTGTGAAGTAGTGTTAAGTTTTCTGTTAAGTAGTGTTCAATAATCTGTGAAGTAGTGTTCAATAATCTGTGAAGTAGTGTTAAGTGTTCTGTTAAGTAGTGTTAAATAATCTGTGAAGTAGTGTTAAGTGTTCTGTTAAGTAGTGTTCAATAATCTGTGAAGTAGTGTTAAGTTTTCTGTTAAGTAGTGTTCAATAATCTCTCAAGTAGATACAGTTAAGTGAAGTAATAGTGTTAAGTAAATACAGTTAAGTGACGTATTCATATAAGTATAGTGTTTTATTAAAGTGTTATGGTCGTTACAGATGCTGGGAGTAACGTTTATACAATACTTGGGTGTTTTGACGTTACTAACACACATACATCGTTAGTGTTAACATCACAGCGAATCTAACACGAGTTAACTATTATCATCTTAAATATTAATCTAAGTCATACTTGGCAATTATTGAAAAATCTTAGCCCCGCCCATCTGTATCGGTGATTGGCTGAGAGTGTAGTCTGGGTCCCATAAGCTCCACCCCATTTTTACTCTCCAGGAGCTAATCGCCTAGTCTCCTTTTCTTTATCTATGTTGGTGATTGGCTGAGAGTATATTTTGGGTCTTTTCTTTCTTTAACTCCTCCTACTTTACTCTCACACAGCCAATCTCCCCTCGATGATTGGCTGAGAGCACATGTTGGGTTTTCATTAACTCCTCCCACTTTTAACCCTCACAGCCAATCACCTCGTCTCCATTTAGTGTTGTGGGCAGAGCTAAGGGTTCCCAAGTGGGTATAATACATATATATATATATATATATATATATATATATATATATATATATATATATATATATATATATATATATATATAGAGCAGGAAATAGAAAACTTTGTGTCTTAGTCGTTAAGTTCATGTCCAACACACCCGCCTACCAGTGGTTAGAGGGGTAGGAGGAAGGAAGGGTTTAGGGGGTTGGGAAGGGGAAGAGGGAGATCTACTACATACATATATATATATATATATATATATATATATATATATATATATATATATATATATATATATATATATATCTGTATCTTCTACCTATAAATCTACTTAGATCTACTCTTGTGAACTAGCACATACGGTATCAGGTCACCCTGTTGGTTGTGTTACAGTAGAAAACAAACACACACACACACACACATAAACACACACACACACACACACACACACACACACACACACACACATATCTTCATCACTAAACACTAAGTTATTTCAGTATTTTGATTTATCTTTTATTTATTCACAGTCTTCTAACTATACAAATATAAATATTCCTTTGGTGGGGATTTTTTATATTTTGTCTCAGTGGTGGGGAAGTTTGTGAGGGAAATTTGGAGTATATGTCTCTAGTGGGATTTTTTTTCTAGTAGGGAGGATTCTAGTGTTGTACATTCTTCTGGTAGGGATTTTTTTTAACTGCTTATTTTCCCGATGACAGGGGAATTTTAACTAATTTGCCTGTCTCATCGGGAATTGTATTTAACCACTTACACATGACAGGGAAAGTATCAGTAACTCACATTCCTATAATGAGGAAAATTATTACCTATGAAGTAGGGGAATTTCCCCCAACTTACACATATGGTGGGGAATTTTATGAAAGTGGTGGGGGAAAACTGTCACCATATCCAATCACTACAATGAAGATTAATTAGTTCACACACACACACACACACACACACACACACACACACACACACACACACCTCTCAGTGATCCACAACGCCTATCCTAGCTACTTTATCCACTGTAGTCATCTCTATGTGACAATACTCGGAGCTGAGGGCGGATCTCGGCTGCACCTCAGACGACGGCGTATCATGGGTCCCTGGAAAGCCGACGCAACGCACCAACCGACGCCGCCCACGCCCACAGCAACACAGCCGGGAACACTTCTTGCGGCAGCCGGAGCAGTCAAGACCGTAGTGAGCCAATGTCTTACGGAACGCCTTTCTGAAGTCTCGGTTGAAATAAGCGTAGATGATGGGGTTAAGGGTGGAGTTGAAGTACCCTGTGGTGGAGAAGGTGGTTAGTGGTGGAGAAGGTGGTGGTTAGTGGTGGAGAAGGTGGTTAATGGTGGAGAAGGTGGTTGTTAGTGGTGGAGAAGGTGGTGGTTAGTGGTGGAGAAGGTGGTTAATGGTGGAGAAGGTGTGGTGGATAGTGGTGGAGAAGGTGGTTAATGGTGGAGAAGGTGGTGGTTAGTGGTGAAGGTGGTGGTTAGTGGTGGAAGGTGATAAGTTAGTGGTGGAGAAGGTGGTGGTTAGTGGTGGAGAAGGTGATTAGTAGTGGAGAAGGTGGTGGCGGTTAGTGGTGGAGAAGGTGGTTAATGGTGCTTGGAGAAGGTGGTGGTTAGTGGTGGAGAAGGTGGTGGTTAGTGTGGTGGAGAAGGTGGTTAATGGTGGAGAAGGTGGTGGTTAGTGATGGAGAAGGTGTGGTGGTTGAGTGGTGGAGAAGGTGGTGGTTGGTGGTGGAGGTGGTAGTTAGTGGGGTGGAGAAGGTGGTGGTTAGTGGTGGAGAAGGTGATTAGTAGTGGAGAAGGTGGTGGTTTAGTGGTGGAGGTGGTTAATGGTGGAGAAGGTGGTGGTTAGTGGTGGAGAAGGTGGTGGTTAGTGGTGGAGAAGGTGGTGGTTAGTGGTGGAGAAGGTGGTGGTTAGTGGTGGAGAAGGTGGTGGTTAGTGGTGGAGAAGGTGGTTAGTGGTGGAGAAGGTGGTGGTTAGTGGTGGAGAAGGTGGTTAATGGTGGAGAAGGTGGTGGATAGTGGTGGAGAAGGTGGTTAATGGTGGAGAAGGTGGTGGTTAGTGGTGGAGAAGGTGGTGGTTAGTGGTGGAGAAGGTGGTGGTTAGTGGTGAAGGTGGTGAGAGAGAGAGAGAGAGAGATACACAAAAAATCCTCCAAATTACTCAGGAAACAAAAACACTAAATTAATTATGTAAAACAGGTCAAATTACCTTAGAGGTCATTTGCATAACTAATGAACTTAATGACGTCTTTCTTTAGTTAACCCAAGTTACTTAATTATCACGTAGAGTACCTGGCCTTACCTGCCTAACACAACAGGATAGGCACTCAGGATAGACACTCAGGATAGGCACTCAGGATAGACACTCAGGAGAGACACTCAGGATAGTCACTCAGGATAGTCACTCACCTATCCAGAAGAGAATAGTGACGAGAGTATCCGGGACTGCACAGGCGTCTCCGCAGAGAGCAGACACGAGGTACCAGCTGAAGAACGGCAGCCAACACAGGAGGAAAACTGACACGATGATTCCGAGGGTCTTGGCCGCCTGTGTGAGAGAGTGTGTGAGAGTGTGAGGGTGTGTGTGTGTGTGAGGGAGGAAGGGAGAGAGAGAGAGAGAGAGAGAGAGAGAGAGAGAGAGAGAGAGAGACTCGTCCTCACAAGCAGGGAAGGATCAGCGATACATTACTGGAACACAACATTTCTGGAACAAAATCACTCAAGAATGGACAGAGTCTTTACCCGAGTAGAGAGAGAGAGAGAGAGAGAATTGGAACAGAGAAGATAAATAGACAGACAAGATACGACGAGAGATAAATCGACAGATATATAGACAGATAGACGGAAATGGATAGATATACAGAGAAAGACAGACTCACAAAATGTCCTTAAGTTAAAACTGTCTCATAAGAGGAGATATGAGACAGTCTCCTTTGTCTCAGTTTAACAAAAGACGGTCGACAAGATGGAGGCGAAATTACCTCAAGCCTTTAGTCAGCAAAAGTGGATCTCTTAGTGTGTGTGTGTGTGTGTGTGTGTGTGTGTGTGTGTGTGTGTTACCAACCAATTATAACTGAAGTAAAGGTCTTAATTCTCATCAGTCATTGGTTGGTTTAAGTTATGTCGTCATTGTCAGCGAAGTATCTTGATATTCAGTGGTGTTATTTTTAAACCTTGGCGCTGATTGGCCGGTACAAGTGTGACGTTTGTTTACATTTCTCTCGTCGCTGATTGGTTCATTCTTATCGTGAGGTGAGTAGTTGCCACATTTACCAGTTCTTACATTTCTATTAAAAAGATAGCGATGCTTATTGGCTCACACGATGCTTGTTTACATTTCTCTCGTCGCTGATTGGTGGGTTTTCATTGAGCGTATGTAATCACTGAAAAATAACAGAACAGACAACCACACACACACACACACACACACACACACACACACACACACACACACCATTGTAAAAATTATCAATAACTTGTAATAAATCAGTGTATTCACTCCCAGTAAACACTACTCCTTGCACTGTCACTATGTTGAAATGAACTGTAGTTTGAGCTTTTCCCCATCTAGTTATTATATATCTTATTTGTGTCACTTATGTCACTTGTATATTATTTGTAATTCGAAACCCATTCCCCAAATATGTAACTGTATATTTTCTGCCTTCTGGCTGCCAAGCTCTTTCAATAAACAGTTAATCATTATTATTATTATTATTATTATTACTATCACTGTTGGTATTCTCAAAGGCAGCTGTCTCTCTCTCTCTCTCTCTCTCTCTCTCTCTCTCTCTCTCTCTCTCTCTCTCAATTAAACAGTAAAATAATTTTTCCTCATTTTCCTCATACGTCTGGCAGCAAAATCATTGAATCTGGGACAAAAAAAAGGTACAGGATTTTATAGTCAAGAGTAGGTTGGACACGACTGACGAACACTCGGACACAAAACAAAATATACATAACTTTTATTGTTTTTGCTTTTTAGCGAATTTATACAAAAAACAATATTGAAACGGTTTAAGGTGACAATTATTCATTAAGAGGACAAAACGTAGTGTGTCGGCGAGTCGATGTTGTGTGAGTGAACGACCATTGATTATGTCAATGTTGGAGACACGAACGTTGCCGGGAGGGAGAGTTGAATGGCGGCTGAGGCAACCTTTGTGTAGTGGTAGTGTGATTTTTACCTCTCTCTCCCTCTCACACCTTTCAATCGCTTGTTCCTTCCCATCTTTCCCTCTCTTCTCACCTCTCCCTCTCTCTTTCTTTCTCTCCTTTCCGTCTGACCTTCCCTTTCACCTCTCCCTCTCTCTCTCTCCCATCTCACATTTCTCCATTCTCTCACTTTCCAATCTGTCCCGTCTCTCACTCTCCTCCCTCTTACCTGACCTCCCTCTCACCTCTCCCTCCCTCTCACCTCTCCCTACCTCCCACTCGAAACGTCACTCTTTCAGCTGTCAATTCTTTCTACCTCCCGAGGCAGAAAATCAATCCTCGAACACTGACATGAAGAGGGAGAGAGAGAGAGAGAGAGAGAGAGAGAGAGAGAGAGAGACCTAAGTTATTCCTTCACAACTCAAAGTTTTGGATGTTCACAAAAATTTTGGTTAAGACTATTCTGGGTCCTAAAAGCTCCTTCCCTAACCCTCTATCTGTCTCCTAAAATTCCTTACCTAAATTTTTAAGTAATTGTAAAACTTCCTAAACTTGGTACCTAAAATTTTAAGTGATTGCTACAAACCCTAAAATTGGTACCTAAAGTTTCTTACCTAAAATTTTAAGTGGTCCAAAAACACCTGCCACTGACCCCCAACAGTCAAATTACTTACGGCAATATTGTGGTTCAGGTAATCAAGTAGCTCGAGGCCTCATTAGTGGTGGTTCGTGAGTCAGGTAATTAGGTAGTTCGTGACCTCATTAGTGGTGGTTCTCAAGATGCTTCAGAACCAGCGAGTTAACTGAGGACAATATGGCGATAATTATCAAATTTCTATCTCTTCTTTCTTTCTTTCTTTCATTTTATTCCTTCTTTATTTGTTATTGTTTTTCTTCGGCATCTATTTTCTTCTTCCTCTTCATTTCTTTTTCTTTTTTCACATCAATCGTAAACCAAATAAAAAACATTGTTCTTGCCTCTTTTATTCTTCTATCCCACTTTTCCCTTCCATCCTCTTCCCCTTTCCCCTCCCCCCTTTCTCTTAATCTCCCTCTCTCCTCTCCTTCCTTTCTCTTAATCTCCCTCTCTCCTCTCCTCCCTCTCTCCCTCCATCTCGTCTCAATGGCCTCTCATGTGAAGCAAAAATGTATTCATTCAGCTTCAAGTTCACCCGTTAGGGATTCGAACTGCTCCATGAATCATTTATGAATCTCCTGATTGGATTCGAACTGTTTCATGATTCTTGTATGAATCTTCTGGTTCGAAGTTCCACTATTCGAACTGATTCATAATACGCACTGATTTACGATTCAGAAGCTCCATTCCATGATTCGAACTGATTCACAACTACGTCAAGATGAGAACGAATTTGTGAACGAATCATCGAACATTTATTTATTTATTCATTTATTTAACTACAGCAATTATCACCTGCCATCGGAACCCACGTTAACGACACAGTAAAGTGATTCGGTGATTCGTTTGTCCGTCTGTCCGTCCGTCCGTCCGTCCGATCACTTGGTTGCCAGGTGAACGAGACTCAAACAAGTGAAGGCCATAATTGATATTGCGCAGATCAAAGACATGAAAGGGACAATTATTAGCTAGTTGGAGGGTGGTAGCATCGTTAACATGTAATGAGGCTGTTAGGGGGTAGGGAGGGTAGTTCAAGTGTTTATTAGGTAGTTAAGGAATCTAACCTTACCTATTTGACCTAATTTAACCTTACCTTATCGAATTAACATAACCTAACCTAATTCAATTTACTTAATCTAACCTAACCAAACCTGATCAGGAAGAAGAAGAAGAAGAAGAAGAAGAAGAAGAAGAAGAAGAAGAAGAAGAAGAAGAAGAAGAAGAAGAAGAAGGGGGAGGAGGAGGAAGTAAAAGAAAGAAAGAAAGAAAGAAAGAAAGAAAGAAAGAAAGAAAGAAAGGTGGACGAGAGAGGAGGAATGAATCAGTGATATATAGAGAATTGCTGAACAAGGACCGATAATTAATGAGACTTCAAACGACAACACTGATGACGTGGTGAAGAAGAGGAACTGATGATAAACAAGGAATAATGCAAGAGATGGGATAAACTCTCTCTCTCTCTCTCTCTCTCTCTCTCTCTCTCTCTCTCTCTCTCTCTCTCTCTCTCTCTCTCTCTCTCTCTCTCTCTCTCTCTCTCTCTCTCTAGTATTCTTTCTATTTATTTCTCTCTTTGGATCTATCTCATTCTCTCTCTTTTTCAAATGCCATACTGTCTCTCTCTCTTTTTATTCTTCCTTTGTATATTCTTTTTCGCTCTATCTGGCTCTCTATCTCTAAAGCTCTCTCTCTCTCTCTCTCTCTATCTCTCTGTCTCTCTATCTCTCTATCTCTCTATCTCTCTAGTTCTCTATCTCTCTAGCTCTCTGTCTCTCTATCTCTCTATCTCTCTATCTCTCTATCTCTCTATCTCTCTACCTCTCTATCTCTCTATCTCTCTAGCTCTCTATCTCTCTAGCTCTCATTCTCATTTTCTCACTATTTAACTTAATCTCTCTTCAATTTCTTCGCCTTTCCTCCATCCCTCCCTCTCTCTTCCTCTTCCTCTCCTTCACCCTTCCCTCTCTCTTCCCTCTCATCCGTCTCCTCCCATTCTCACTTCAACTCTTTTATCAGATTCTCTCTCGTACTTGAAGCATTCTGACGAGTTTACCAAGATGGGTTAGGGAGAGGGAGGGATGAGAGGGACGGTGAGAGGGAGGATGAAAGGGGCTTGGGAGGATGAGAGGTGAGTGAGAGAGATGGTGAGAGGGAGTGAGAAAGAGGTAAGAGAGGTTAGAAGAGAACTGAGAGAGAAGAAGATCTACACACCCTCGACCAGGCATAAACTCATCTCATAAACTGCTGTCAATTGTCTGTCTCTCTGTATGTCTCTTTGTGTATCTCTCAGTATCTCTTTGTGTGTCTGTCTCTCTCTCTCTCTCTTCCATGTTTCCTCCTTTATTTGTTTTTGTCACTTTCTTCCTTTATTTATTCTCTCGTTTTTGTTTTTCTTTGTCATTTTGTGTTTTGTTGTGGTTTTTGTTTTTGTTATTTTTGTGATTATTTTATTGTTGTTCTTTTCTTCTATTATCGTTTTGTTTGTTTTCCTCTCTCTCTCTCTCTCTCTCTCTCTCTCTCTCCCTCACACACACCATCCTTTCTCTCTCCCCTTATCCTTTGTTTATCTCTCTCTCTCACCTATCCTCCTCCTCTTCTTCCTCCCTTTCCGTCTTCTCTTTTGATATTCTCCCTCTTCCTCTTCCGTGTTCTCCTCTCACTCTGTCTCTCTTATCTCTCCTTCCTCTGCTCTTACTAACTTCCTCCTCTTCCTTCTTCCTTGATTAGTCTTTCGTTACCTCTCTCTCTCTCTCTCCTACTCCACCATTGTCATTTACCTTCCTCTTCCTTCTCTCATATTTTACTATCTTTTTCTCTTGTTTATCTGTCTGTCTGTCTCTCTTTCACCATCACCCACCTCCCTCTCACTCTCTCTCTCATCATCATCATCATCACCTCTCTCTCTCTCTCTCATCATCTCATCATCCCACATTCCTCTCTCATTATCATCATCACTTCCTCTCTCCCTCATCACCTCACCACTCCCTCTCCTTCCTCTCTCTATCACTCACCTTCCTCTCTCTCCTCATCATCACCACTTGCTTCCTCTCTCTATCATCACCACTCACCTTCCTCTCTCTCATCCTTCATCATCATCCTCTCTCTCTCTCTCATCCCTCCTTCCTCTCTCTCTCATCCCTCCTCTCCTCATCATCACCTTCCTCTCTCTCTCTCATCATCACCACTCACCTTCCTCTCTCTCTCATCATATCATCACCTTCCTCTCTCCTCATCGCCATCATCACCTCCTCTCCTCTCTCATCATCACCCTCACCTTCCTCTCTCTCTCTCTCCATCATCATCACCTTCCTCTCTCTCTCTCATCATCACCACTAACCTTCCTCTCTCTCTCATCATCACCACTTACCTTCCTCTCTCTCTCATCACCATCATCACCTTCCTCTCTCTCTCTCATCTCGCCATCATCACCTTCACCTCTCCCTCTCTCTCCCCATCATCACCACTTACCTTCCTCTCTCTCTCATCATCACCCTTCCTTCCTCTCTCTCTCCTCTGTCACCATCATCACCTTCCTCTCTCTCTCATCCATCATCATCACCTTCCTCTCTCCTCTCTCTCTCCTCCATCATCCACCACTAACCTTCTCTCATCATCACCACTTACCTTCCTCTCTCTCTCATCACCACTCACCTTCCTCTCTCTCTCTCATCGCATCATCACCTTCTCTCTCTCTCTCATCATCACTCACCACCTCCTCTCTCTCTCATCCATCATCATCCTTCCTCTCTCTCTCTCATCTCATCACCACTAACCTTCTCTCTCTCATCATCACCACCACCTTCCTCTCTCCCTCTCTCTCTCTCTCTCACTCACCACTCACCTTCCTCTCTCTCTCTCATCATCATCACCACTCACCTTCCTCTCTCTCTCATCGCCATCATCCTCTCCCTCTCATCATCACCTAACCTTCTCTCTCATCACCACTCTCCTCTCTCTCATCACCACTCCTCTCTCTCTCATCATCACCTTCCTCTCTCTCTCATCATCACCACTAACCTTCCTCTCTCTCTCTCATCATCACCACCACCTTCCCTCTCTCTCTCCATCGCCATCATCACCTTCCTCTCTCTCCTCATCATCACCATCATCACCTTCCTCTCTCTCTCTCATCACATCATCACCTCCCTCTCCTCTCCCTCTCTCTCTCATCCACCACCACTACCTTCCCTCTCTCTCTCCACACTCTCTCTCCCCATCATCCTCTCTCCACTCTCTCATCATCTCCATCATCACACCACTCCACCTTCCTCTCTCTCCCCACCACCACCACTAACTCCTTCTCTCTCTCTCTCATCATCACCACTCTTCCTCTCCTCATCACCAGCCCACCTCTCTCTCTCTCATCGCCATCATCACCTCTCCTCTCTCTCTCACATCAACTAACCTTCCTCTCCCTCTCATCGCCCATCATCACCTTACTCTCTCTCTCCTCATCATCACTCACCTTTCACCTTCCCTCTCTCTCTCATCCTCATCCCTTCCTCTCTCCCATCACCATCATCATCATCACCACTTACCTCCTCTCTCATCGCCATCATCACGCCTTACTCTCTCTCTCATCATCACCACTCAACCTTCCCTCTCTCTCTCTCATCGCCACTCATCACCTTCCCTCTCTCTCTCTCATCATCATCACCACTAACCTTCCTCTCTCTCTCATCACCATCATCACCTCTCTCATCACCCACTTAACCCTTCCTCTCTCTCTCTCTCTCATCATCACCACTCCACCTTCCTCTCTCTCTCATCATCACCACCACCTTCCTCTCTCTCTCCATCATCACCACTCACCTTCCTCTCTCTCTCTCATCACCATCATCACCTTCCTCTCTCTCTCTCATCATCACCACTCACCTTCCTCTCTCTCTCATCACCACTCACCTTCCTCTCTCTCTCTCATCATCACCACTCACCTTCCTCTCTCTCTCTCATCACCATCATCACCTTCCTCTCTCTCTCTCATCATCACCACTCACCTTCCTCTCCCTCTTCATCTTGTGTAGTGACGCCTGCTTCTTCTTCACCTCACCAGACGCCGCCACGTTCATGATGGCGTCAGGACCCATCCCCGCGGAGCTCTTCCTCACGCCCACCCCGAGGAACCTTCTCTTCATACCCAGCCCACCACGCCTACATTTGGGCGTACTACCGGGTGACGGCGTGGGCGTAGAGTCGTCACTGTTCGGGAGATCCATCCGCGACGCCACGACAGACGACTCGGTAAGAGGAGGTGAGGATGGGTCGTCAAAGGCTGTGGTCGTTAATCCGTTGCTGTGGACTACTCCCCGGGTGAAGCAAACGTCCTTCCCCGCCTGTCTGCTGCTCACTTTGTTATGGGCGCAGCAGACACCCGCAGCAAAACAGATATCTTTACCAACTTGCTGTGGTGATTGTTTGGGGTGGGTGTGGAGGCAGGATATACCCCCAGAGCAACACACGTCTTTCCCCGTTTGTTGTGGGAGTGGTAGACTCTCCCCAGGGTA